TTACATAAGATCTGTTGCATTAATGAGGATGGACTTATCAGGTATCTTCCATAACAATTTATAAATAATTCTTCCAACACAAAGTTTATTTCATCATCTTCTATAGCATAAAAAAAACCCAGGGCAGTCTTCAAAGCTTCTGGGAGCTTGTCCCTAATCGCCCACACATTGCAAGATGGGATGACCCTTCTGTCAGATTTCTTTAGCCTGTTAAACACCTACCAAATGAAAACCATTGATATCCAACATGTCGGCATTTCCTGTAAGAAGAGAAGTACAATAAAAAGTTTGAACAGACTAGTTAAAAAAAATCAGAGTGACTATTCTTACACCGTAGACAACTATAGATATTCCTTCTTTGTACGCACAATATCTACGTGGAACAGGTTACCAATACAAGTAGTTACAGCACCATCACTTACCCAATTTCAAATTTTGGCATTGCCAGTACTGAGGGAGTTGCTTCTTACAGCATCCCACAAACAGTTTTAGCGATCGAAATATTTTCCAATTTTACTTGCACTCTTAAATCACTTGTAAATTAACTTACACTGACTGGTTTTGCGAGCACCAAACAGCACACTCCACAGCACGAAACCTCCTAGGACAAGCAAGATGCTTTTTAAGGAGTATTTAACTCAAGACTCAAGACCATTAAAAAATAATTAGTATTGATATTACAATGTCTTTATAAGGAATTAATCATTCTGGCACTAATCATCAATGATAATTTTTGTTGAAAATATATATATTCTAATTAACCATCACTGTGAAAAGCCCATATTCAAATGCATTGCAAAGTGGTGTAACATAGCATTTATTTTATCAATATTAATAAACAATTATTTTGAATAGAATTTATCATTTCATTAATATAATACTTTTTTGTAATATAAAAATAAAAATTAGTTTAAAAATTACAAATGAAGATAAAACAATATATGTATAATAGACTATCTTGTTTCTCAATCTTTTCTAATGTACAGTATTAATAATTACCCTGTATTTTGACCATCAAAATGGCTGGACATTTGACCCTCTACTAGTTTTTGATCCAGCATGGAACAATCAGGGCCACGCCTAAGGCGGGTGGTTATATTTCCGAGAAGAATGCCGAAAATTAATCTTTGAACTAATCTGAATACTGTATATAACCATTGCCAATGTATTATGCAGAAGTTAAGTTCTGTGCACATTTTTCCAAGCCATTTTCCGCGCAAATTTGAGCTAGCTTTCAAGGCATCATCCACATTCCACGACGAATAAACTGGCATTTTAGTAATGCCTGTAGTAGTAGTAGTAGGTCCTAGATAGTTCCATGGATCTAATAATTAACATGTAAATTAATACACATAATTGAGACATTTTCATAAGTGAAAACCCATATAAATGAAAAGAACGGCCAAATTTACATTGGAATATCTAAAGTTTGACACGATTTTTTATGGGGTTACCGAATGCAAGCCTTTGAAAGTCGGTACATTTTAGGAAATCTGTCTCTTATACACATCTAGATGTGTATAAGAGTTTTTTTTGGGACCCAGTTCACGAGCCTCGTTTTCGAATACCGCGCTCCAAAATCGAGTGCCGTCACCGTCGTTGTGGTCGCCCATCCCTCTATTTTAAATTAAAAATTAATTATTTCATCCCCGCATCCCCCCCTTTAAAAAGATGAAATATCAATATTAATAATGGTAGTAATAATAATACGCCGTGGCTAGAGATACGGTACCGTATCGGAACTTCCGATTGCTAAAGGTACGGTAAATGATATTACGTCATGTTTAGCCAATAGAAACGCCGATACATGCGTGACGTCATTCAGTGCACTGCTGCTGCAAGAATGTGTGAGTGTGTGTTGGCAACGATCGAAGATAAGAAATTTTGTTCGTTCGCGGGTGTTGTTGACAAGACCGAGGCCCTATAGCAATTAAAAATGATAGCAGTTTTGCTAGATTTGGCGACATCAAGCGAGAATAATTAAGTATTTTAATAGTAGAAGCCATGCCTAGGCCTTAGCTACCCCTACCTTAGCTGAAGCCTAGCGAAGCCGGGGGCCTATACATAGGCGTAGATCCCGGGGGATGGGGATATATCCCCCCCCCCCCAATATTTGACAAGGGGGAGGTCCATTGTATCATCCCCCTCCCCAATATTTTGACTATGTATGGGATAAAATGGAGCTTTACACACTTCAAAAGACTGTCACAGAAATAATTTGCACTGTCTTGTGCGCTTACAAAGATGAAAATTAGCATAATGTATTAATGTTGATAACAACATTATTTTATCTGGTACCAATCTAAGCTTCAGAGGGGGGGCACATCCCCTGTCCGCACAAGGGCACACATTGGCGCTAACACCAGGCGCGTATATGGGGTCTTGGGTCAGAGTGGGTATTTATTTTTTAAATTTTTTATTTCAACCATCTTTAAAGAGGTAACCCTTCTAGTTTAGCCCAGTAGGTTAACTGATATTCAGGGGCCCTCTTTAATACAATTAAAGAACAGTACAAACAACATCATCATCATCATCATCATCATCATAAACAACAACAACAACAGCAACAACAACCCTCATTTCCCGGTTAGTAATACCACCACCCCCCCCCACTCCCCATATAGAAAAAAATACGACATAGGCTTACCGTACTCGCGCGAATAAGCGCCCCTTTAGAATAATTCAATCAATCCTGGACTGTTGATGTTGGCATGATTTGAGGTGTGGAATGGAATCACATTCTCTTTTAGTTAATATCAAAATGAGGATATTTATCTTGCACAGATGAGAGCTCCCTGGACAGACAGTATATTTCCAACTTTCATCTTCTTACATTTTTCTATAGCCTATAGTCCAACTGCTTTTCCGACAATTTGCACCGAACACATTCTCATCTGAGTTTTCAAGAAAACCTGCAATGATCATGCATTCCTGCTAATCTCAATCGGTCGACGGCCAACAAGCCAACCACCACCACTAATTTCATCTGCTATTGTGCTGTTATGTAATAATGTACTCACAACATTCTTGTCATGACAAGCCATGCTCTCTGGACGATTATCTTTTCCGCCGCACCACCGTTCGTAATTTGCGGTTTCCTTATATAATCATTTTTCATTCAAAATGTATCTCTTGAATTTAGTAAGTTCTCATAATAACCACTCGATTTTCATCTGTTTTCATAAGCGACCCCCCAATTTCCACACTGTTTTGATAAGCGCCCCGTTCGAATAAGCGCCCTGTTTGAATTAGCGCCCCTCAAAAAGTGCAAAAAATATTTTAAGCGCCTGGGCGCTTATTCGCGCCAATACGGTATCTTATTTATAATATAGGCCACACACGTGTGTTTGAAACTAAATATAAGCATGTTCATCATGGTTTTATTTATTACAAACATATTCTTTCACCATCTATACACATTGAGGCCCTTCTTTTAGGTTAAAATGATCTATCTTAAATTTGTCTTGAGTTTGGGACTATTATGTGTTTAAATAACTTAAAAGGATAAAACTAAAAAAGCCCTAAAAAATGCGCGCCAAGGGCGCAAAATATTTTTGTGTTTTTAATTCTAATTTCGTCGGAATTGATGAAGACTCTCTAAAATGTGCAATTTATAGAGGAAATTGGCCTACTGTAACAAGAAATGCGCGCAAAGAATTTGAGAATTTTAGGCACTTTCAGGAGAGGATGCATTTGTCAAGGGGTGGGGAAAGATTTCCAAAGATGGATATTTTCCCCTTGTCCCCCGGTGTTTTTAATTCTAATTTCGTTGGAATTGATCAAAACTCCCTAAAATGTGCAAATTTTAGAGGAAATTGGGCCATGTTAACAAGAAATGCGCGCGAAATTTGAGGTTTTAGGCACTTTCAGGGGATGAAAGGGCAATTTTAAAGGGGTGGGGAAGATTTTTCAAAGATAGATATTTTCCCCTTGTCCCCCAGTGGTTACGCCATCGGGCAGCATAGATCAAAGGAGTTATGACAGTTTTTGAAGTGGAGAAGGGGTTGCAGGGTCATTATGATATCTTCCTTTTTATTCTTGTCTTTATTTTTCTCTTCTCTTTTTCTTTCCTTTTCTTTTCCTCTTCTTTCTCTTTCCCTCCCTCTCCCTCCCCTCTTTCTTTTCTCTTATTACCCAGCCCGGTACGACGGCTTGGTCAGCCCGGTAAAAACCGTCAGGGGGAGGGGGAAGTTCCCCGCGCCTGTTACAACACTGGCTAACACGCCAATCATCCCCCCCCCCCCAATAAAAAATATTTTTCTACGCCACTGGGCCTATAGCTAGAGAGTAGTAGGCCGGCCTATACCTAGCTATGCCAAGGTAGGATAGGCCTGCCTGAACATCTCTAGGTCTAGGTCCAACCTTTCCTTGTTGTTTACTGCCTATCTTAGGCCCTCGCCCTAGCTAGTTGAAACCTGGCTATGAATTTAATTTAATAGGAAGTTAAAAAAGGGGAAAAATTGATCGCCCAAAATGCCTCAGAGGTTGCGTCTGTCTAGAAAACAAATATGCGGACATCCCCTTAAGGCGATGTTATTTCGATCGGCCCCCCCCCCCCCATTTTCGGGGATTATGACCGGTTGAGCCGCCGACAAGTTGAGCCGCCGGTCATTTCTATGGAACGCCAAGCGCGTCTCTCAGTGAATGTAGTGCGTTAATTGCGGTGTATTTCAATTAACTTATTCGTTCTTGGTACTGTACTGTTGTTTGGGATGTATTTCAGTTTATTTACTCATTTATTTCAATTTATTTAATACTCGGTTTTTGCACTGATTTATTAAATATTTTTGAGACGTATTTCAATTTGTTTACTTGTTCTTTCTATCATTTTAATTTAAATTTTGTTGAGTATTTGCTCAGTCAGCTTGCCAGATAGTAAAAAAAAAAAACTCCATACATTCTTATCATTTATTATATATAAGTTTAACAAATAGTACAAAAATAAAAAGTATATAAATTACAAAACCATAGTAAATACTACTATATAGTACCGTACTTAAAAGTATGTTTGAGAATAGTACTGCATGTAAACATTAACAAAGTTTCATTGACTTACATGATCTAGTTCAATGTCTAAAATGGGGTCATTGATTACATTGTTAAAATTTTTGGCATTTTTGATATTGCTGCCTGCTTCATTAAATTTTTTGAGGTCTTGTTTGATTGTGGCTAGTGTCCTCTCTTCACCATCTTGTGTCTTGGTTGCCAAGCAATAAAGGCAAATGTGACGACCTACAGTCAAATTAGAAAATAACATGAAGACAGTGTTATAAAAGATGATATATAATTTATTAAATGCATTCATGCAATAAATGATGTTTTAATAATAGTTAATAAAAATGTGTTATCTGCATGATGACTCCAAAATATACAATCAACTAGCATAATATCAAATATTATGGAATAATGCTGTCAAAAATTTGACATGGGAGAATGTACAATATCCAATTATTTAAGAAACACTTTTCATGGATTTGACTTATTTTAAAGTGCAGTACTGACCACTTGCTCCTGATAATCCGTAAATACGACATTCATACTCATGTCTCCAAACGCAAACAGGTGCATTTCTTTCCCACTGAAAAAGAGTATCATAACCAGTGCCGGATTAAGCATTGTCTGGCCTCAAGGCACATTTTCGAAATGGCCCAAAAATACTGGTGCTGTAGGAAAACATTTAGTATAAATCAGAACATCCGATGGCCGCAGGCTCAAAATCTGTCGTGTCGGAGAGAAGCGTTACTCTGCCACAACTATAACAGTAGAATGTCTCCGAGTTTTCTAGCCTAATAATACCGGAAAATGGAGTGTAAATAATATTGCAGTCCAACTTTTGATGGCCCATCATTTTCACCAGGCCCACAAGGCTTGTGTCTTATTTGCCTAATGGTTAATCCGGCACTGATCATAACGTGTTAAATCAAGTAAATTAACTTAATTTACAGGTACTTAGTTTAATCACCATGTTTAAAATTATTTGATCAAATTAAATTGCAATTTTATTGCAGTAATTTATACCTACTTCCACATCATCGATTTGAGGTCTTCTGCCTGCTGCTTTATCCTCGCCATACCGGTTTTCAAATTGTATGTGCAGTCACCCGCCTCCCAAATTAATATAGTGACTGTATTCTGCAAAGAGTTCGGATGCTCAACATTTCCACTCTGGATCATTTGAATGTCCCTCCACCTTTGTCTCCACCTAGCTTTAGCCATATTTGGTTATCTGGAATTAATCCATTATGCCAGGTGAGTAAATCAAGGCTGAAAAATAAACAAAACAATTTGTTAATTAGTCTAACCATTAAATATTTTTGGAAGAGTTAAACTGTAGACTTTCGATATTTACCTGTCTAGTTGGTCTAGCATTTCCCGAACTTTTTCTGCCAAATTTTTAACAACTACAAGTGGGACATTAGTCAATAGCATTTCTTCTGTTTTCTCGTCCTTTACCAAAAGGGGGAGATATTCTTTTAGCAAGTTGTCATTGATTACTCGGCTCTCCTGTCTGTGGATGCTGGCCTCACTCTCACATTGTATCTGATATTTTGCTAACCATCTAGAAGAATCAAAATATAAAACCGGATGAATATAAAATGCTGTAATGTATCGCTGAGCAAATTTTTTTTGAAGCGCTTATGTTCACTTGCTTACCTTTTCAATACTCTCGTTCTTGTTCCACTCAGACCCAAATGTGCCTTCATGGACATGATGTTACCATGTGGCATCCGAAAGGGGGTACGAAGTATGTCCTTTAGTTCGCCTTGCAGACCCGAAATTTCATGGCGATATTGCTCATTGGTTGCTTCTTCGGATCCGCTAATCATCGAACGGAATTTCTTGACCTGAGAAGGGAAAAAAAACCAATATTTTATGGAAATTAAAAAAATTAACTTATACTGCATAAAACATATAACAGAAAAAAAAAATGTTATTTACTTGATTTGTTCTTTTGTCTTTTTTTTTTTTTGATGTTGCATCTGATTCTACTCTCACATTTGGAATTTTAAAATATTTGATTGTCTGAAAGAAGGAATTTAATTTATAAAATTATAAAAATTCCATTATAAAAATTATACTATAGTGTTAAGCCGGGCACTCACTGCGTCATACGACCATCGCACAACAAATCCAACTCCACTACGTGTTAGCGATTAACGAAGCAACGCCGTCTGCTGATTGTCGGTAACAGTCTGAACGGATCGTCATTAAAAATGATCCGTTGTGCGCACATCGTCGCATTGCGTTCTTCATAGAATCACATCTGCTGACGACCGTCAAGCACAGTGAGTGCCCGATCTTACATTTGCTTCTTTTAATTCCATTTGCTTTTGCTTCGTGGAAACATGAAAGAAGTTACATTACCTTTCCCCCTGATATAAATGTCACCACCCCATCTTTTGATTTCCTCGATTTTTGTTGCATGAGATGGTGACCTAAATTTTCCATCTCACTTGTGATAGAAGCATCCAGAGGCTGTTGAAGGATGGCTTGAAAGGAATCGTTGGTATGTTGTTTAGCATAAGTGTGTTCTTGTTGTAAGACACATACTGTACATGTGTGTTACAATTTTGACATTGCAACTGACATTGACATGTATTACATTTTACAATAACTGACATGTAACATTGTACAGATCAGGTACAGCAGTGACAGACTTGTAATGTGATTCAACTGAACAAGACGGACACGACATTACATCATTATCTACAAAAAATGACTGAACACACGCTTTGCAAGCAACATGGTGACACAGTAACTCAACAGGACATACACACACTACATTACAAACACAACACATGAATGGACTCAAAGAACCAATGATGGTGTAGGAATCTGGAATGTTTATAAGCATGGTATCAATTGAGGAGAAATGTGTGGCAACTGATGATGTATGTGCCATCCTTCTCTTGCACTCTGGTGCTCCTAAACCTCTGTTCATTTTTTTTGGCTGCCCACCTATGTGAAAACAATATTCAAACATCATTATTAATTAAAATTTACCAAGGTATAAACATTATAAAATAAAAATGCAAAGGAATGTTTGAACTTGTAATAGTGTGCCAATTTAGTATTAAAAAATTATATATTTTTTCATTGTAAAATTATTTCAACAATTTCTATGGTATATATCATGCACTAGAAGATTACAAATGTTTCATTAATATTGTGTTGATAAGCTATTTAAATAATTTATTAAGATAAAGATTTTTAAATATTTTTTAATTATTTAAAATGAAAAAAAAAAACATATGACAACCTTTTTTAAATGTGTCATTGCAAACCTCTCACGTTCCGACTCGCCTATGCGCAGGCCATTCCTTCAGTTGAACATCTTTTTTCTGGACTACAAGCTTAATGTAGCAGAGATTACAGAATGATTGAGGATATCTGTTTAAATCACTGTCTCTGCTAACACCAAGTTGTAGCCAGTACGGTATTTGTTCACATCTTTACTCCTTCCACCATCTTTGTTAAGTTTCGTGCCACACACTCTACAGAGTGTTGATAAAACATTTTTATGTTTTTCCATAAATCTGTAAAAACAAATATAATAATATATTTATTGTGTTGTTAAGTTGATAACTATTTTGTAGTATGACAAAAATGTCATGAAATTATGGTATTTGAGCTTAAGTTTGTTTTATTTTTTACTAGCCTGGCCTATTATTACTTTATTTTTATTATTATTATTATTGATTTTATTATTATTATATTGTACTGGAATCTAGAAATGCAATAAAAGACATAATTTTATAAGAATATTATTTAAAAACTGTTGCTGAAGCTGCTAAATTGCCTAACATGGCCTATGTGCAAAATTCTATATTTTGATGGACCCAAATAATTGGATAAAATAACCTTCAATAATACTTTAAAACTAATTATTCCCCGTGTCTAACTTGGTCATTTCCACTGAAGAGTAATAAAAATTCAATATAAAAAACTGTTTTCATTACAAAAAACTCTGTCTAAAATATTATAAGCTTACTTACTCATCATTAATTATCAATTAATTTACTTCCGCATAGGCGAAAATCTAGGCCTAAAACGTAATGCAATTTCCCATTTTTTTTTTTCAACATTACACATTTGATATGACATTCAATTTATACATAAAATTGTGTTAATATTTCATAGTAACCAGAAAATATTACTTACGTTTATATGTCGGCAATATAGTTTTTGTAAAAACAGCGAAATACTTGGGGTGGTTTCGTGCAAAAAACGAATACAGATAATTTCGGTCGCGCTTCGTTTCGGTCGCGCTTCATTTCGGTCGCGGTTTGTTTTCAACAAATATATGGAGCGCCAATGGAGTTGCGAAACGCTAAATTTAATATAACTAGGCCTAATTATCATTGCAAGNNNNCATATATATATATATATATATATATTCATATTTATGAACTGCGCAGGGGTATTAAAGATTTCAAGTGAAGAATGATGTGTGTATTATTCGTTTATTTCTTCGAATTTCCTTCAATTCTCTTGATATGTTTTATCCAAACTCTGGAAGCTGCAAGAAAAATAAATATATTTATTGTATAAAAAGTTCAGATTAAATATTGAATGATTATTGTTTTAACTAAATTATGAAATAGATTTCAGATGGTAACAATATTCAATTCAATTAAAATCAAGATACATTTTATTGACCATAATTATTAAAGTATAGTACCGTATATGAAAACGCAACAAAAAGAATAGCATGAAGCACATACTAAATTCCATTGTTTCAATTACAAGATCATGTTGCAATCATGAATATATCACCGTAAATGGAAGAAAGAATAAGAAAGATATTTTGTTATTGGAAAGATAGCAAAACAATAATAATTAGGCCTATGATAACCGATTCACGAACTAAAATATATAGGGCATAGGCATATTAAATTTTTCGTTTTCGCAACTCCTTCGGCGCTCCATATATTTGTTCGAAATAAACCGTGACCGAAACGAAGCACGACCGAAACAAAGCGCGACCGAAACGAAGCTCGACCGAACTGATCGGCTACCCAAAAAACACCGGTAAATCGAGCTTTCAAAACAAAGCAACGAAGCGTATCATTTTGGCGCTCTTGTATTCTAACACTGGGGGCGCTATATTATTTTTAGCATAGGCGTGGGTACGTGCCGGTGATGGATGGTTGGTTTGGTCAGGAACTCCCTGGTTTGGTGCATAGAGCTATTAAATCACATTTGAATAAATAACAGCTAAAATACTTTAAAAAATTACAGAAGTTACAAAAAAACAATACAAGATATAAGAATCACATAATTTTTTTGAAAACAACAGCAAAGATTAGGAAGAGGCATTGCTAGATGGCCCTATCATTGGTAGGCCTCATTGAAAAGTTAGCCTGCAATCATCTTATCCCCTCTCTCTTTTTTGGCTCCAGCGCATTACACGGGTTAACGATTTATTAGGCCTATTGCACACTCTTACTACTCGGTGTTGGCTGTATCAGTTGGGAATGTAATAAAAATCTTGTATCTTGCCTCTAAACAGTCATCAAATTACTGATCCGATTGTGTGTGCATAATGAAAACTTTCGGACATCTGCTCACTGAACGCTTCACTGCACAGCTTAACACAGTAAATGAGTCAAAACGAGAGCCACTTTTTTCACAAAATCGTCTTTATTTTTTGATTGAATTATTTTAGGAATCTGGGGTCTGAGGGTGATTATATAACTAGACATTTTAAGCTTTGGAATTATATATATATGTGTTTACCATATGTAAAAAATTGAGTGATCATTTTTCTTTCAAAGTTGACAACTCCTAATGGTTTTGAATAGGAAAAAGGTCAATTTTAGCTTGTTTTTCAGTATAGGATTTAATTCCCTTTGGAATAACTCGGGAACCATACGTCTGTTAACCCTGAGGTGAACGGTCAAGTGTAGCTGATATAATTTACTTTCTTGTCATATAAATCTAATGTTAATTGGCCAAGAGACGATTGATCATTTTCTCTTTAAAGTATTTCGTTCATACAAGGTAATTCAACAAAAGGACGCACATCTCCGCTCTCGAACATAGCGCGTGCGTACAGTCCTTTGATCTGTGGCATCGACAATCTGATACTAGTTGCGAGTACAGCCGTCAATTATTAGTCTATGCGTGCCATTCGTTTTATGGTGTTAGTTTTTATTTTATTAATTTTGGGTACTTCGCAATGTCTGTTACATTTGATTTTTTTTTTACCGCGAGCTTATTAAATGCTTCTATAAACTGCAATTTGATTTGTGAAAATTGACCAAGAAAATGAAAAGTTATAGCAATTCAAAATTTACGAATTTTATAAAATTTCATGTTCTAATGTAACATTAATCTGTCATTTTGACAATGTTGGCATAAGGTGCCGAAAACAAACACAGATATACGGAACATTTATTAATTTTTTCTGCGAAGTGAGTCTCATGAACGACAATTCACCACAATTTTGGTAAAATTAATGTTGAAATGAAGAATATACTTCAGTCTAATGTTAGTGCAAAATATCATGAGGCCTTTGTAATCACCGCACGAAGCGCGACTAACATGGCAACTAACACGCGCGTGGGTAAATCGTCACGTACGCTGACGGTTCATGGTCTGGTTACTATGGTTTTTGTGACGTTCAGCGTGTAGGGACGCACGTGTGCCTAGAATGTCGATGCCAGAGTTATAACCTTTGATGTCCCGAGATGTGCGTCCTTTTGTTGAATTACCTTGGTTCATAGTACTTTTACCGTCATTTGGCAATCTGCCGGGTCACATGACATGCTTCCCGCTACGAATATTTGCAAGCTAGAAACATCTGTGGGCTCATAAAACCATCTTATTCATTATAGATATACAAATTTTGTACTCCAAAAGTTGAACATTGTAATTTACTACTTATATAAAGTAAAATTAAGAAAAATTATTGAAGAAAAGAAGGACTACAGACGATAAAAGAAGCATTTTCTGAAATGACCAATCCATTTTTTGTAAAGGTAAGTGCAAAGCCTACCATGTTTACTGGGCTCAGAACGAGGTCATCTTGAATTTACTGTGCCTACAGTCTTAACTTAAGTAAAGAATCTGTACACTTTTAGTACATTACGTTAATTAATAATCATATTGAATAGGTGCTAAATTTTAAAATTTACTATTTTGTCTTTGCATGATTTTTTATAATTATTATTTTATGTATCCTAATATTTTATGTATCCAGGATGTTTCCATGTAAAAGCCAAAATATCATGTTCAATAAATCCTTTGAGGCAGTATATAGTGGCAGTATATTCTGAAATAAACTTGACATGAATAAACAAACTTAGCTTGTTTATCCGTGTCTACAGAGTGTAAAAGTATAGTATATTTCCCTTATATATATAATGAACTGTGCCAAATCCTGTTCAGTGGAGATGTTCGTTCATGCATACGAAGTAGGTCAACTGTACGTAGATTCTCCACAGAAGGAGCTTTTGTCCGAAATCGGGCTAAAGTTTTCATTATGTTAGAAATATAGAGTAGGCCTAACAATTTAATTAGATTTAAATTTAATTATAAGTAAAAAGTTATTTAAAATTAAGCGTCTGGAAAAATTAAACATCTGCTCCACAGACAGGAGAATTTGGTAGGCTTTCACAGCTTTACACAAAATAGAAAATCTGTTAACTATACATTATTATTCTTCAAACTGGAAATTTACTCAAATTGCCTCCGGAAAAGGAAGGAAAACAAAAAAGAAACAATAAGTTCATACGGAATTGAAACAAAAGAAAATTCATTAAACATGAACCCGGACCCAAATATTAAAACGATAACATGCTTAAAAATACAATCTTAAGTTGTTGCTTTTATTCATTCACAATATAAATTATGACCTTTTACACCTTACATAGGCACAGACACATTAAAAATTTAACGGAATAGTAATTGAATCAAGAGACACGTACGTATCATTACATCTTTACCAACTATGCAACTCGATCAGAGAGTGTTCCCACGCCTCTTGAATAGAACGGGAACCATCAGCGACTAGCGCCTTCTATCGCCGCGGAGAAGTTGCACTGTTAATTTCCGTTAGCCTTCTTTAACGAGTCGTTACATACATACATGGCTCAATAATGATCGAGGGTTGTACCAAAGAGTATAAATAGAACAAGAGAGCAAAGTCCCGTTCGTAAAAACGTCATGCCTGTGTAGGACGCCAACTAACGGTTGTATATTCTTTTTATTACCCAGTGCAGCGCTGCGCAGCGCGGTA